TTAAACGGGTCCTGGCCGATTGTGTGGGTCAAGGGTAAAGGGCGGTGGTCCATATATCGACGTGGTCGTTTCCACTGCACTTGGTGTTCGAGTTTTAAGGCTATGCTGTCTCAGTGAGGCTGGTGAGACCTGTGGCGACAGCGCTGATTATGTGCCGCGACGATATGACCGGAACACGCTGCAGTGCCGCATGACGGTCAGAACACTGTCAAAGAGAAAAACTTCCGTAGCTTCCAAATTAGCGCACACTATTTAAAGGAGCGAAGTGCTTTGGGCATGCATGGGTCATTTCACTGATTTCGAGTCCAGAAAATGCAAGCGGCTTGCGTGCAGTTTATTTCGCATTCCACCATGGTATCTTATCGTCGCATGTGCAACCAGTATCGCGTTGTGTGGCCACTGAACAGACGCTATGGAATGGAACGCAAGTTGACGTCAAGTAAATTACTTTCACGTGCAGCTAGAGGTCCTTCATCTATGTTAATAGACGTTAAAATGTATATCAGCTCACCCCGCACAGCCAACTGCGATCTGATTTAATATCTGATCCATGCCGTTTGCACTCAGTGATGTACATAACGCCTTTTTTGTAAGGATGCTTAAAGCTCTGATGAACGTGACACATGGAGCAGTCCTCCATTGCTTCCCTGCATGCTCACATGTGTACCGTCTGTCCAATGACGGTGTCGATTCCTGCGGTTCTGCGTCGGTTCTGGACGTTTTACATAGAGTGACTCTTATTCCCCCGCGCAGCAGCCTGACTTAGTTGAAACATGCATTCGTGTTTTGTGCCTCCCCTTGCGCAGGCGACGGTTCAGTTATGCTCAGTGGCGTAAAAGAAAACATTGCCACGCTCCTATATAGCAAGTTGATGCGTCCGTGGCACCACCGCAACGTTCAGCAGAAGTTAAGCCTGCGTGTAACTGGTGTGTGCGTGAAGTTTCCCAAAGCCATGCTCAGTTTTCCCCAAAGGGATCATTGCCGCAGAATTCCGTCATATCCGCAGCCCAGCACTCACCGTAAGCGCCGTGACTCCGTGCATGTTTTGTGTTTTCTGCCCGCGTCACGAACGTGTCCGCCGCCCGACTTGACGGGTCCCACCTCAGCCATCACGAACGGACTCGCCGTGCTCCCACGCCGCCGGCCGCATTGTGGTGGCAACACACCATAAAAATTGAATGTCTGCAACTCCAAACCATAAATGTGGGCAGCTGTCAAGAGCGGATGGAACATTGTACGGTACAACACAACGTGGTGCAGCGTTTGCCAAGTGTGTGTTCATGTTAGTCACGCGTATTCTGTGCAGCATAGTGTTGTCTTTACTCGCTTTAATACAAAACTACATTGGCTGTTTAAGCGTTGCGCATTTTGTTCCAATTTGCAATTCCCTCACTCCAATGGTGTAACTTGATATTCTACTCAGAAATCGCTGAACTATGGAAAATTCGGTCTTTTGTTAAGTGGGCAAGGAAGGCCAGTGCAACGGCAGTACTGTTGTCTGCTTGTACTGTGTGATAGTCTTTGCCATTATCGTATCAATCATGAAAAGGCAGCTAAGCTGTTTTGAGACCTGGTAATCAGCCCCAATCTCGGAAGCCGCTATTGCGTTGCAATCTTTACCGCTCGATATAGGCCAAGCCCGATATAGACAGGGCAGCCACTGGCGATCAGAGGTCCAGTGGGCGCCATAGTGACTTCGGCAAGGTGGCTGTCCAAACTTTGCGGGGTCTTTCTCTGGTGTGCGTGGTTATTTGGAAAGCTATGAAATGCGTAGTTGACGCAGTTTTTGTTTTCGACTCAAGATTTATAAGTCACCTTATGCTATAAAGGGTTACCTAGATATGCACGCGAAACCGGGAGAGCGCATTTAGCAGATAACGGTCCCATGACATCAATGAACTGGCGCCTGAACGGCCGTTTTCACCCTAGCCAGCAACTGCGGTCCAAATGTGCCAATAATTCTGAGTTAATTACATCAACACAGAGGAATGAAACAGCTGTTTCATAAAGACCCATGTGATTCAATGTGGCATTTTCGCCAACGTAGCTGCCACAATGTTTGCAACGCTTGTGATCCCGTTTGCATCCAAGCACGGATTGATTGATCGCGTGTGCTTTGTGGAGGCCGGTCACGGCGTGAGCATTGAGCCTCGGCTTTTTTATATTCTCGGACGAACAACAGGATATGGGTAAGAAGTGCTTGAACTAAACCGGGTAGTTTTGGACATCTTAATGAATGTTGTTTCGCACCGCACACCATAATACCTTCATTCAGCAGCATTTCGCTGTTCTAGGCACCGTGAAACGCGCCCTCTTTCTGCCATTGACAACCCTCTGACGAATGCTTACGCTATCCCATTTCGCCAGCGGTCTGTTCGTTCCCATTTGTTCTCACCAGGCATGCATGCGGGGTGTTCCGTCTCAACCACATAACCTGCCGCCGCCGCCGCCGTCGCTGCCGCCTGACGGGCCGCCCCTCCTCCGCCAGGCAAGCCGCCGTTCTTCCCGGGCCTAGACGAATCTGCGCACCTGCTGGACGAGCACGGCCTGCTGGACGGCCTGCCGGCGCTCAGTCCGTCGCGCACCTCGCCCCGCTCCTCCGGCTCGGGCGACAACGGCGAGCGCTACTCGCGCAAGGTGTTCGTTCGGCGGCCTGCCGCCCGACATCGACGAGGGTTGCGTTCCTTCCCGGCCCGGCCGGCCATCTTGCCCACGGGTGCGGGGTCACGGGACCGTTGGCGGCACTGTTTACAGAGGTGGCGCGTGTGTTGGCGGCCGGCGCCCAGCCCGCCGACTTCCAGGAGCAGGTGTCGTCGGGGAGGCGTTAGCGACGGAGGCCGCCGCTGCTCCTCTCGGCGACGCTGCGGCACGGCCGGCGCCTCTGTCACGGCCGCTGCGCTCCTGCAACGGGCCGCCCCACGTCCGAACGCACTGCATGGTCAGAGGCTCCCACGCACGCGGGGCGCCTTGGCTGGGTGGCGGGGAGAGGTCTTTCGGGCGACCCACCGGCCATTCGTGACCTGTTGTGACCGCGGTGCGGCGCGTGGCTGGACAGGGATGTGACCTCTGAGAAAGTCGTGCGAGCGTTTGTTGGTATTTCTATTGTCGAGCTAGAAGCAGGCTTATCTTTATTTTAAGTTCTATGCTTTGCAATTTTTGTTTGTGTTTGGTCCAGTTAGCTACTAGCTTACTCATGACAATCGTTTAATGCACCCTTACGCCTGCACGTTAGGCCCTGAATCTTGATAATCGTGTTAATTCTGTACTTTCCCCGCGTGCTGCATTGTGTTCCTTTGCGCGGGTCTTGTGCTCTTTCATCAGCTGGTCGGAAAGTTCGGGCGGTAGTTTGAAGTCTTTTCCTGGTCTTAATTACTAACTTTCAAACTTTGAACTAACCATCCTTTAATGAGCCTTACCCCTCTAAACCTAGCAAATCAATTGAGAAATGTCGCTTCAAATTCTCATTCTTTGCATGAAATGTTTTTTGGGCTCCATTTTGGCGTCTCCCTCACTTATTGGACGTAATAACCGGACTATTTAACCGTATGGTCATAAAATGCGATTGGGTGGGGGCGGCGCGCGCACCATTTCCGCCGTCTGGCCGGTTAGTGTCGAGCGGGCGGGTCCACCGCCGCCGGCGACGGCGTCAACAACAGCGAATCTCCCCGCTAGTAGGCCCAGCCCTTTATCAAGCGGCAGCCATAAATTAGCCGGGCCGGGCCGTCCTTTTTTTCCTGTCGTTGCTGGGTGGCAGAGATGACAGTTTATGAGCGCGGGAGCGTTGTTTGCGTGGTCGAATCGATGCGTCCGGCGGGCGGCCGCGCGGCCATGATATACGCGCGCCAGTCCGCCGGCCGGGATAGATGATGATGACGGTGGCCGGCCGGACCCAGGGGAGCGGGCCGGCCGGCTGCCTCGCCGCCGTGTGTGGTGCCTCCCCGCCGTCGGGCTATGCCAGCGGCGCCTCCGGAGGCCGCAGGACAGACGTTCCTTCGCCGTC